CCCTGCACATAGACATGATAACCTAAATCCCATCTGCAGTCATACTCTTAGAGTTCCTAACCTGAGACTACCCACTGCACCAGACTATCCAGCAACTCTCTGCTGCAAACTCCTTTCTGGAAGGAGTCCTCTCCTTCTCCCCCTGCTATGCACAGTCTGGGATACAGCATGAGGAGTTCAAGGGTGAGGAATTTTTTGAGACATCAAAATATATCCATACTCCGGATACCACCCAGAGACCTGTTAAATGACCAGACATTTCATTTATCTTTTCCATTGTCCAAAACCAATCATCCCCAATGAGCAGTTTTTCAGATGAAATTACAAGTGAGACAGGTTGAGCTTCCTTGGTTACTCTGTGAAGCTCTGGTACTTCCTAACTGTGGAGATGAAATCTTGAGCCATTTGCATCTTGCTGTCACCCCCTCTGATAATCAAAGCAGTCTATTTATGATTTCCATAAAAACATCATTTGAAGCATACTGCTTTCTTATATTTCCTTGAAAAAAAAAAAAAAAAAAAGGAAAAGCAGCAAAATACTTCATTTCAGAGACTAAATCTGCCACAGAGCCGCTATGGTACTCACTACCAGCATGTCAACAAGACCATTTCAAAGCATGGTTTACTGTGGACTTGATATTTATCTGAGCTTTTCATGCTTGCCTCCTCGACTAACTTCTCAGTAGTCCAAAGATCAGAGGTTTTTTTCCCCTACTACAGTCCCATCTCTTCAATGTTTCCCAGGGAAACATTAGTTTTCCATAACCAAGGAAGAAGACAAAATGGCCAAGCTCCTTTCAGTAAGTGTATACACTCAGATGGTTGTGCTAACAAACAAGAGATTTCGAAATCTTCTTCTGCAGGGATGGAATAAAGGATTCAACATGTTTTTCCTGTTAATATTATTTGTAATGCTCAGAGCACTTCGGCACAAGGTCCTGTATGACCAGAGCAACTAGATAATTCCTGCTACCAGAAGCTAACAAACTAAATAAAACTACAAGGCTGGTAAAAATAAATCCAGTGTTTGAAAAAAAAAATAACGCAACAAACCAAAACAAAAGCCAAAACAGGAACCTGGAGCTGGATTCATCCATCCATATCTAGGTCTCATTTGAAGGAAGCTAAGTGTGCCTGTGTACACCAAATGAAACACAGTTATCACGCTCAGGTCAGTGTAATTAGTTGCCAGACTGTCTGCAAACCCCAACTTCAGTAATTTCAGTTTTGTGAAGATATCAGGGTGGAGTTAATGTATGAGAGACATCACTTTTCATTTGCAAATGGCACAATCTCCCTACATAACCAGCTTCAGTCAGTCTGCCAGTGCTGCAGACTGCTCCTTTGCAAGTGAGCTGCAATGAGGGGACTCCTCCACCGAAGTCACAGGACTCCAGGGACCCTGCAGCACCTCTAAGGCAAACAGAACAAACAGAAGGGTCAGCCCCGAGATACTGCAGAGACTGAGGCACGTACAGCTACTGCAGCAAAATTCAGATATACAAAGTTTTCAAGTGACCTATAATTTCAGCCCGATTAGTAGATTTTCTCCAACTCTGTAACTCAGTGCAGTCATTTGTCACGGAGCTCTGGGGAGCCGTCCAGAGGGAAACAAGAACCGTTTCCCCGCTGCAGGCTGTCACCTGGGCAGTCAGCATCTCTCAGCACTTGCGCTGTTGTATAAATTACACCCCTCCCAGCTTGGTCAAGTATGTCCATCATTCAGCACATATGTAATCTTCGCTATTTTATTGTCTCATTGATGGAAGAATTAGCTGCACAGTGGGAAACACATTAAGAAAGGACTACCAGTTATTTTGCTGGTGTTACTAACTTCTTTAATCCCCTGTAATCTCTTCTAAGGGGGGATTCGTATCTACTCAAATCACTTCACAGGAGGCATATATAACATAACAGAGGCCCGACACACCAGGGAAAACAAAAAACTCAGCTACTGGTCCTCCACAGTGTCAAACACACCAGCCATCGCTGGAGAGTGGATCATAATTTGCAAAGAGTATGCAACGGCACTGCCCCAGTGAACCCCCGTTCCTTGATGCATTCAGTTGGGAAGGTCATCATCATCTCGGTCATAACCTCTGCTTCTCCAATAAGGAGCCAACCACAGCCTAACAATAGGAACCTAGTTTTGTTCTAAGCACCTTGTGGTGTTCCCATCTGCCGAGAAAGAATCTGTTTAGCCATTTCAGCAGCTGGTATCAAATGTGGTGAGGCTACTCAAAACCTTTTTCTGGTTTGGAGATGTAATTTGTGGATCTTGAACTATGGCACAGGATCCTCAATTTACATTACAGGGAAACAAACAAGAGATAAAACTTTTTCATCATTTTGTTTTGTTTTGTTTTTTACCCTATATTGACATAGTGAACTGAAGATGCTAATCACTTTTGCAGCTGATAAGGGACAAAAATTTAAAAAAATGAAAAGTAAGCGGCGATGCAAGTGGTAAGGGAATTACCAAGGCACTGCCATGTATAATCACAGCTCTTGATAAATAAACTCAGAATGCTGAGCAATTTTTGCTCTTGGTTGCTCCCAGTCTCCTGACTTTCAGAAATTATTTACCCAATCTTTCTTTCTTCCCTGGATTATCTAAACAGCTTTGTCTTTTCCACAGTATGTGCCCTGCTGCAGTCTTCTCAGCCTACTGCTTCAGGTTGGTATCATTGCAGTGAACACTGCTGGGACTGACCTTCAGCTACCACTCCCATTTGACCAGGGCATTAATATAGCAATCCATTAATTCGCTGGAGCTGCTCATGTCAGCATTAGAATGTATATTCTTTAAATGATACTGTTTTTATCCACTTCTCAGTGCAATTCCAGAAGTTTCAAATATACACTACCTCAGATGGCATTAAAATTGGCTTACTTTTCAGACATTATTACGCTCATTTTGACCCGTATCGGCCAATGTATACTGACTTTACGATTAAAGTCCAATATAGTTTCTGAAGTTGGCAATTAGATAAAGCCCGAATTATTTTAGAGACACTTGGGAGAAAAGATGTTTGTAAAGAGAAGTTGTCCACTGTGGGCAGTTTAAAGCAAAACCACATATAATTTATCCACCTGTTGCAAATGGATCCATCAACACATGTAAGAATTACTAGCATTGTAACAAAAGTCGATCAGATTTAATCAAAGTCATGAAAGAGGCTCAAAATAATACATAGAAATTCTTCACTAATTTACAAGTAAGACTTCTTTCACCAAAACTCAGCAGCTAGAATATTTCTGTATCTCACTACCTGTGTATGCATGACTTCATACCCCTCTAATCTTAAGACTTACCATAAGGCAATAAGAAATACTTTATCAGCTCAATATCTGTGCAGATCTACACCACATGAATTCCAATATGCTTTAAAATAAAGCTACACGGTCTCTAATCTTAATTCTGACTGGAGACGAATTATTACAAATTTGACTGCAGTGCATTAGTGTGCAGTAACCATAAAGCAGCTACAGAGGGTAAACCCCTGGGATTATGAGGTTTTCTACTCAGTGGTGGCTACATTGTTTTCACTGAGAGTGACTAGGGATGACATTGTTTTCCAGAAATGCACAAAAATGTTACCCCAAAAGTTAGTTTTTCCCCTTTTAAAAAACAATATATCACCATCTTTATGATGCTTATGGAATTTTGTGGAATGCTTAAGATAATGACTCTGCGCTCAATTTAGGATTTAGAAGAGAATATTACTATATACAAGTGCAGACAAACACAAGCTGATTTGGGACTCTTCATAAAAATAGCACTATTTATACACTTAGCTGCCTTCTGCGATTTAATGGTAGAGCTGCTCACCCCCTATGCAAAACCATACCATTATGATTGTGGCATCAATTCATTAATCAGAATGACAGAGGGTCTCATGATCAAACAGGAGAGGTTCTGGTACTTCTTATGACAGCAGAGCTTGTGATACAGCCATACTGGATCCATTTGCGATTGAACTGGAAACCAGCTATTTTCTATACTCAACGGAATTCTGATTTATGATGTGCTTGAAATTACTGTGGATTTCTATTAAAGACAAACACTTGGCAGTAAGGTACCATACTTACCTGTAATTTAGTTATGTAACAGTAGTATCCTCCATAGACCCCACATCCTTTGGGGTTTTTTGTTTTTCAGATATGCAACTTTCAGAGCCAACTTGGCATTTTTTAAGAGTTTGGCCTTTTTCCTGCGGCCCTAAGCAAACCTCAAGCCATGAAGGAGCAGGGAATTTATACAGGCCTGCACAGACTCAATCAGCAGTTTCCTTTCCACTGACATCCACAGGAAGCCAGCATGTATGGAAAGATGGGGGCACGCAGACATCAGCAATTACAGACAGGCCACTTTTCCCACATTTGGAAACGTACAGCTCAAGGCTACCTATTTAGTTAGTGTCTTTAATGCATGGGAAACCTCTGCTAACTGGCAGATTTTCTCTTTGAAGAGTTTATTCATTTATTCTATTACTCAACGTACACAATGGTAAAGTAAAGCTGCAAGATGACAAAGAAGGGCCAAAGAAAATGATGTTTTAGGTGAAGCTGTAATCTTCAAAGGTGATAAGAACATTTCTAGTTAGTAAGTGTACCACTTTAAAATATGCTTTATACCTCAAATATTGTAAGAATAATCATAGACCCAGCCACTAAAATAAAGCTTAGAAGGATGAACACAAGCTCATACAGACTCATACATCCACTTAACTTACTTATACATTCTGAAGATGATATGATCTCCTCTAAGGAGAAGAAATTTATGTTTCAAGACTGCTTCCCTCTCCTTAATCCATTTCACTTGTGCATTTGCAGCCCATTTATAGACACTGGTTTCTGACTCAGTCTTTTAAAACACACCCCCTGGTATCAACTGTTCTGGCTAAGGATTTCTTACAGGACAAAAATTGCTGACTCAGGACCTATGTAAAAAAAGAAACTGCAAATTTAGGGGACCGAGATACAAAGAGGTGACATACCCTTCCTCAATTGTAACAGAATTCATGATGATGCAGTTTGTTATCTTAACTTTGTCTTTTATGGTACACATGCTGCCGATGATGGAGTGTTTAATGGACGTCTTCTCCCCAACTTGCGTGGATGACCCAATGATGCTGTCTGATCCAACCTAGGGAAGAACAGAAATTGGCAAAAGTACCCAGTGTTCTCCAAAATGTGTTCTCCATAAACCTCTTCCAAACAGCATGTTTTAAGTGCTTGTCACAAAGTGTACCCTGCTCTACCCTTAGGGATCCTTGGCAGTGGAAAGACCTAGAAATCTGGGGATACCAACGGGGATACCATCGCAGTTTTGTATCCATTGGGGGGTAAACTGCTCAACTATCCTGAACTGCCATTAGGGAACAAGAGACTGCAGCATCTGACTTAGGAATAAGAGAGAATTTTTACCAAACACTCTTAAAGATGGTAACTGAAAGGCAGGAACCTATGGGCGAGCCTATGAGGAGGCTCTGGGCTGTATCATCTACATTGTAATTCCACACTTCAGAACCGAGCTTCAGTTCCAGCAGGGGGAATGAGTTTTAGGAAGCAGGTCTTGAAACAAAAGGCATGCAATCTGTATTGAAAGAGCAGAGATGGGGAAAGGGAATGCTTACCATGCCTCTGTCGGTGATCTGTGCAGATCCATGAACCAGTGGCTCTTCCAGACCCAGATTAAGCAATAGCTTGCGAGCCTGGATGGAAAAAACAACATCACAAATTAACATGACAGTGCTGTACCCACGTTACCTAAACAGCTCAACGCTGGCTTTGGTTTCCATTGCACTAGTGCATCTATCATAAACATTTTAACTTAAAGGAAAACGTGTGTTCCTGCATTTTAATTCTGCAACTAGCTATGTGTGATTTATCATCTTCCCATTATCTACAGGAGACAGGTACATTTCCCACTTGTGGAGAAGCAGTGGATCAGCAGCAGCAAGAAGGCTGGCTCCACTGAACACGGTGACATCCTGCACATTACTACAATATCCAGCATCTGCCATTTCAAATGCAGCTCAACATGTTTTACACCATTCAGTAAACGCGCATAAAAAGAGGACTAAGTTCAGCCCACTCAATAAGGTAGCATGCTGAGGTACAGGCAAGAAAAAAGTTATTTCAGATGTTTAAGGAGAAAGAAACTAAAGTGATCAAGTGGCTATTCCAGATGGTAGAAAGCTGCACAAGGAAAGGCTCTTGACAGGGAGAAGGCAGGTGTTAGATAAGTGGACAAAGCAGCAATGGTAATAGAGAGAGACACGGCCCGTGAGGTAGCCAAGAACAAATCCATGGGGAGCAATTCTGAACTGGCTCCTGAACAGAAAGGGGAGCCAGCGTTGTAGGAGGATAAGCTATCTATCACTCCATCATTCCTCCTTTTCTGGGTGAAAGAGCAGCCTGAGGCATTCTGCATCTCCTGGCGTCAGCCTGGGGCCAAGGTCATACACCACAGAAGAGGTGATGACAGCAGGGATGGGGATTTCAGGGGAGATGGGAGTCTCACAGCAATGCACAGAGACAGTGCTGCGCGGAGTTACTTGCAGCGGTGACGCGATGTATGATGCGTCTTGGTAGGACAGAGATGGCAGTCAAAGAAACACAGGAGACACTGAAGGCAGCAAAGTGATGCATGAGGGTTCAGAGGTTTGTGTCATGGCAAATCGTATGCCCAAGTGAGAGGCAGTGTGTGCTGGGGCTGGTGTGGAGCCCCACATATGCTGTTTGGCAGCCAGGATGCATACAATGACTCCACCTGGGAGGTCAACTGGAGTCTCAGCACAGTGATGGTGTAGCCCCATTTGGCTGAGGGGAGAAAGTGGCACTCATTGAGTCTCTTTTCTCTACCTAGGCACCTATTTTTTACAAAACTCTTAGGAAAGTTTATCTTTGAGATCTCTATTGCTTTGTTAAATTTGGCTGAGAGTTGCCAGCAATTTCCAAAGCTGCTATGAAGGAGATGCCATACAGTACGATTGTGTAAAATGACTTCCTTAGAAAGCTGGGATAATGAGAGCTGATGGCTAGGGAGTGAACTGCGAGACACAGATCCCACAGATCTGAAGAAGTTGGGATCAGATCAGAAAAAAATATCTCAAGATCTCAAATGAGATGATACTTGCAGGAAATTGTTTGGATATTCATAATATGACCAGCCCATTTTCCTTCCAGCATGTGAGGATGGATAACTCATTTGCTCTTTTTCAAATGAGAAGAATTTTCACAGTTGAGGCTTCATTCAGATGAGTGAGATAAGCTCAGATGAGCTCACACCTCTGAGCTACTATTTCAGGCTGACTGTTGTCCCCAGTTTGACATCTGTAGCTCTTTACATCTTGAAGATGGTCCTTCCCACTAGAATTGTGTTTCCTTTGTTTTTTAGAAAACAAGAGTAGGTTAGATCCTTCAGTCCAAGGTGCAGGCACTACAGAAAACCACCAGCTTATCAGAACACCACAAACTAGGCCAGTCCTGGCTGATGCTTGCTTGGTGAAGGAATGTTGTCTTCACCTGACATAGAGCTGGGCAGCCACAACAGATAGATCCAAGAAGAGGAACACACACCAAAGCATACCTACAGCACAGATTGGAAAGATTCCTACTATCCAGTGTCACTCTGTGGGAAGGAAAAGAAACGAGGAAAGGCTCTTGCCCTCCTCAGTGGAAAGGTGGTGTAGGTGAAATAAATAAAGGATTTTACTGGCCAGAATAAAGCCCTTATTTGAATCAGTCAATAGTAGTGCAGCCTGAGGGGTGACCCGAAAAAGCTACCAGCTCAAGCATTTTGCTCTGAAAAGGAAGGTTAGATAGGGGGCAGGAGTCAGAGGGAGTGCCTGGGTCAAGGGAAGGTTTAAGATGTGTTTGGATTTAATTCATCTTACAAAGAAACTATTTCCTGCTATTGAAGATAACTCCCTCCTGAACCCACCTGCCCACACACAGGCTGCAGGCATCCAGAAACCCAGCTGGAAGTGAAATGATGTGAGTAAAGTGTTTCCCCACCAGAAGGGCAATGGGTTAGGATGCCATTCCTTCTCACGGCTACTGGACTGGGCTGCTACTGCTCCATGAGTCTGTCCTCTTGGACAGCAAACTTATAGGTCCTGGCTTTGCAGATAGGGAATCAGAATCTGGTCTGTGAAGACCAAGATAAGAGCAAACAAGACACCAAAAGTCTTCCTTAGAGACCAATAAAACAGGTTAAAAAAAGCCGATAAAATTAAACATGCGTCTTTTATGAGGATTAGCAAAAGAAACAAAATGCAGTGGCACTGAAAAAAGGAACTCCTTTCTCACAACCCCTCATTAAGCTCCATTTTATGCTTTACCTCCACATAGTTTCCTTAGAAATTTTACCATTCTGGAAAAGGTAAAAATTCAAAGAAAATCCTTTCCAACACTGAAGGCCCCAGTGTGATTTCAAAACACTAATTCTATGTACCACCCAGGAGCAAACACATTTCCTGAACTGACCAAAATGTAGAATATTTAGGTTAAAGAAAAAAAAAAGCCACCAAAAAAAAAAGCCAACACAAAAAAACCCACATGGAGTCTGACTGGCTCAACTCAATAACTTTTTACTGAAGTGGCTGCTGCCAAATGTACACGCACACTTCCCCTCGCAAGCGGTGCTCTCCCTTAACCCTTTGGGCACACTTACTCCTGATATTCTCAGGGAAAGCTTTCCCTTTCTGACAGCAGTGCTGCCTCCCTCCTCTCTTCCTTGTGTCCCTAACCACAAAACAAATCACTTTATTTCTGTGCTCCTCTATAGGTAACAAGGAGAAAGAGCTCCAATGCCTAACTCACTCTCTCATGCTGCAACTCTAATTTGCATAGATTCATCCATTAATTTTATTAAAAAGAAATCGACTCATTTTGAGAGCAAAGGCAAGGCAGTGACCACTTCCAGGATTCCCAATACAACTTTATCACTCTCCCAGCCCCACTTCCAGAAATCTTGAGTCTTTTCTTACTACATTCCCTATTGGTCTTTCAGAACCAGAGGAAACGGTCCGCTCCTGATAGCAACCAAGTTCATCACTAGCAGAGTGAAGTGAGAACTTGTACATTGCATCACCCAGTGTAGTAAGAAAAAAACCAAAAACATATTACATATTAAAAGCTTTTAATTGTCAGCTCATTAGCTAGTACAGGATTTCGCTAATCCTCACCTGTCATCTTTTATTTTATGAATTCTCAGTACTGTGAAAGTGAAAGCTGCAAGAGATCAACACTTCACCTCTGTGTTTACCTGGAATGCCACTGTAGTGAAACCTGTTCGTAATTCTTTCATAATGGAAAGCATTAGGCAATTTGAATGTATGGGGAGTTTAAGTCTTCCTGCAAATTTTTAATAACCTTTGTCATTATCACTCAGATAAACATCTGTTAGGAAGAGTCCAGTCAGAACCAATCTTGCCTTTAGGACATGGAGGACATTGATTAGATGAGCTATCAAAGCTACTTCCAGCCTTATTTTCCATGCTTCTTGGCTCTTTGGCTGCAGGTCTTGCCACCCCCAAAAACCAGAAGGGTGTGTGAGGTGGGGGTTTTCTTAGCCAAATCAAAGCTACAGAGTAAATTAGTGACAGAACTGTTTCCTGGCCTCATGTTCTATCCAGCAACCAGTAGGGTGATGCGCCTAGATAACGTGGCACTGGTTCAATTCCCACACACTCCTCAGCTGTATCACAGGGAGCCACTCCTGGAAGCTAAAATGTCCCATAAACTACTGCTGTGTTCCCATGTGGCAGTTTGGATTATTCTCACCTGTCGGTTGGCTTCAATATACAACCCAAGGGTATTCACTCGGAAGCACAGTCCCTCTTTCATTATATGGACGTAGCAGCGCACTTTTCCTTCATGGAGAGTTTCATTCATATCTCCTCTATGATCATTCCAACAGGAGTTATCTGGAGCAGGTTTCAGCAAGCTATTATCTTCCTTTATGAAACTATAAATGTCTGGAGAACACACACATGCATGAAGTTAGACAGGATTTAATGAAATACTTTCTGAAGAGGAATACTATTAAAATACTGTTGGTGAAGGGAAATCTTTGCCTCACTTCATCTGAATGGCTGGGTACTTAGCAATCATTAACAGATTTTATCACACGTAGTGAGTAAGTGCTTATTTTTATTCTGCAGGTGAGAATCAAGGTATCAGGACAGATGCAATATTTTGCCCAAGGTCACACAAGGAGACAGCGGAAATGCTAAAAATAAATTCCAAGATCTGAGATCCTGTCCAGTTCCCAGTGCAGGGTGGTTAAGGCTTAGTCCGTTGCCCTACACAATTTTAGAAACTCCCTCCTAAAATTACATTTTCAGAAGTGCATTTACCTATACTGTATTCTGGAAGAAACTACACAGCACCTAGCTGATTCGCTTGTGATCTAAACCAAAAAAAGGGAGGACAAAAATATTTATATAATGCACAAGACTTTTTGAAAAAGAAATCTACTAGAATCTTTGCTATCATGAAGTATAAGAGAAAAAAAAAGCATATCCCCAAACCAGTGTTTCAGGCTAATTCTGTATGCTGCCCAATAATTCAGCTATAGCATACAGGCTTTAAAACTTTAATCAAATCCTTGATATTGGTACTAACCTAGAGATGCTTGTTCTTTTTTCTTTTGGTCCTCTTCTTTGTTGTCTAGTCCTTGCTGCAATGATGTAGGAGAAGAGAACTGTTTCCTAACCAGATGTGGAATCAGCTCACTCCGGAGAGATGTGATTGTCCTGGGGAAGGAGACGCACACATGAAGTCCATGAATGCTAAAACTCACGCATCTTCATTTTCTTCACATAACATTATCAGACATTTTGCATGTTTTTCAACAGGATGAATCAAAATGCCAGGTTCTCCAAGACATCTGGCACTAAGAAAATGTCCACTAGTCATTTGCTTCCTTAATGCATTAAAATATAAAGGAAGATTCAAAGTAAGTAAAAAGCTTCATCTTCAGAACTAATTCCCCTGTATTTTAACAGCGATGCCTATAAATTAATATGGCGCCATCCTGCAATTCATGCTTGTGTGCAGAAGGGATGCAGAAAGTACCAACTTCATAATGACAACAACTGAAATCCACTTTATGTGGCTTAAAAAATGGCATTAATTGACAGGAAAAGAGAGAATAAAATGCCTATAGAGGAAAAACCAAAGCAGCTCCTTTTCCTTGTGATAAAAATATGGAAATGCTCAAGGATATATGAAATACCAAACCCTTAGATGAAAATATTTATGACACAGACATGAATGATGTCCTCCTGCTCACATGAAACATCAAGAATATTTTAAAGACTCAGTCCTTTAACCAAGAGAAATCAGCACATTTTAACAAACTTAGGTCCCAAGAGTTTCATGCTCTTTAGCTGCCCGATCCAAAATACATCACTGAACAGAAAGCTTCCAAAGGCTTTAGCTGGCAATACACCCATCTTCCCTGCATGCAGATGTCAACTTTTATTATATTCATCCTGACACCCCAATACTAGGAAGCAGAGAAATCACATGAGAGGTTTGTGATAAAGCAGGGACTTGAACCCAAGCCACTTATGCCTTAAACAAAGACCCTGATCACTAAATTATCCTTTGCTTGCATTGATTTGTACATTACAATCAATCAAGAAAAACCTCTTCCCAATAGACAAATATCAATGTAAAAAGTCAACTGTACAATGAGATTATAACCCCAGTAACTTCATTTTGACTATTAGAAAGTAATTTTATTTTTCAATAAAGTATTTTGAAAAGAAAAAAAAACAAATCAGAAGTTTTTACAGTTGGAGTGTATGAGATGCAGTCTTAAAAGAGCTTTATTGTTGTTGTTTCATTATTTTAACAATATGCATTTAGTTACTGAATTGTGGATTATTTAAAGTAGTGCTTGGGAAAATCATGCGGAAAATGAACTCAAACTTGGCATGCATAAGAGGAAGTGCTAAACTTCAGAGGAAGGACTGGGAGAACTACACAGAGAGCTTGGCTGGAGGAACTCAACAAATGACAACCCACAGAGAAAAAGAAGTTATTTAGAATGGAAGACAGCAAAACTAGGAACTAACTACATGTTAAATTAAAAAAGGAAAGTACTAGAATGAATATCCTGAAAGTGACTTTGATTGGCAAAATCTCTAGCAAAAGAGCATCTTAAACAGTTCAAACTTCAAGAAACATGCAGCTCCTAACCCGTCCAGGCCCCTCTTCAGGTCAATGACAGTGAAGCAGACCTAAGGATCAAAACAGTCTTTCCTATTTCTAACTTTGATGGGAAGATTCAAATTCGATTGCCAGTTCAGCCCTACGAACAAATACAGTGTTCTCCTTTTTCTTGACAAACTTTTCCTCGGTCTTCAACTGTAGGTTGTGTCACATCCTCCATCCTGTAGTGGGATGATCTAACCCATCCCAGATCTGAAATTCTGCTTTTATTTTTTCTTACAGACAAGGAAAAACTCTAATCTTCAGTCTCTCCTCCTTCTTGAAAACAAGATTATAATCACCTTCAGATAGCTGTATTTCAGGAACTAATGAAGCAAAACACTTCATTCTTTAATCACCGAATTTCTCCCTGCTAACCACTTACAGGCGCGCTCTGCCACGGCCGCCCTGGCCCCGCGCTCCGACACACGTGTGGCTCTGCAGATGGGCAGTTTACTAGCTCACAGTGTTTGCCTGCAGCTGTGCCATTCAGCAGTGATTTCCTGCTTGGGTTTTATACTCCATCCAAAACCGACAATCCTGTGTTTCCCTCAGAGGCTGGCCATGGCATTTATAAGATATATTACCTATAAAATATCCAAGTATTTGGCAGTCTTAAATAGTCTGATGCAGAGGACAACACAACACGGTAGGAAATGAAAGCAGTGGAAAGGGGGAAAGACTAAGTTTTGCCTGGTTTTGGATGGTTTACTCTTTCTTGGCCAAACTCCTGAAGCTTTCCTGTGATTCTCTGAAGTGCTAGCCACATTCCTTCAGCAAAGGTGGAGTAAATCTCCAGGTCATCCATAAGATGTGGCTGAGAAACACACCCTTCTTACTGGAAAAGGCAAAACAGGAAGGTTTGCCCGTGCTTGCTGTTTAAGCAGAATTTATGTGTGACATTAAAGGAATCTGCCTTTGGAAAGTATTAAAAAAATACACAGTGAGGCCCTCGGTGACAAAAATTTGGGAATTTTTTGTGACAGATCTTGCAAATATGGATGTACGAAGTGATAGCGTGAGAATATTATCTGACTGTCAACAGTGGGGGAAACCAAACATCTGGCTGGGACTAGGAAAGGAATTTAAAAGCAAAGGAGGGATAGGACTGTAGACCCTTCATCAAGAAGGAAAAAAAATAATAAATAGTTTGGAAGGACCAACAAGCCTGTAACCTAGATTCAGGAGAAAACAACCCAAAAAGGTTTCTGGTCTAATGTGTTAAAAATTCTTACAATCAAATCCTGAACTACACATGCTTATATTAAGAAAAAGAAGGGTAAGACTGTGTACACTAAAGAAAGCAGCCTTTTTTATTTTTTTGAGGTTTTAAAACTTGGCATCACCCTAGTTTCTAAGCTTGTTATTTTCTTTAGCACCAAGGAGTAAGAATGAAATACCTGAGATCAACAGAAGGAAAAATCTACTATGACCAGGAGAAGGAAAGTGGGAAGGTGGGCGGAAGGAGAGGAGGGGTCACAACATTTTGGCAGAAATCCAGTTCTAAGTCAAATCAGGGTAACCATGCTCTGACTCCTCAAGGAAAATCCAGACAGTACAGAGGATAAAAATGAACCTGCTTTTGAGAACATTTGCCAAAATAAACAGGCTTTCATAAATTCCAGCTCAAGTTATGAGCCTTTTTCGTGATCTTTCATTCCCCAAAATTTGATTTTTGAAGTGATATCTGTCTGTTTTCACCTTGACAGAAAGTAGTACGTTTTCAATTAAACACGCAAAGATTGAGAGTGCCATTAAATTCCCGCTTGTAAAGGAATGGGGGACTGATCCCTGGAGCATCTTATGTGGCTTCAGTCCCATGAGAACAACAGGAGATGGCAGCAATTTTGAATGAGGTTTATTCTGATCACATTCTAAGCACACACAAATTAGAATTACATCTGGGATGGAATCCTCCATTCACACGGTAGGTCACAACAAAAAAGGATGTTGGCAAGAGACAGTGCATATGTGGGGGAAATTAAGATAACAAAGCAGTTGAAATTCATGGTGCATGTGCAAGAAACAGCTGGGAATTTAAGAGAAGATAAAATAAATTAAAAAAAAAAACAACAAACAACAACAACAAAAAAAACGACCTGGAAAAGTCTATATTAAATGTACCTATTAACTCAGAGCAAAACATCAGTCATTTGCTGGTCATCAGTCAGCTCTCCGGACTGTAGACTCAGACTTAGGCATTAGAAACTTACAATAGTCAAGATTAATTTTAATTAATTAATTAAAGATTAATTAAAACCTAAAATGCTAAAGTACAAAACCAGATGCTTGGTCAAACAACTGTAACATAACCAAGTACTATCACCACCAGAGACAAATCAGTACCATGTCTTTAGAATCCCTTTATCCCCAGAACCTCTGCACTACGACATCTTCCCAGTGTTCCTGGGATTTTTGTATGACAGCAAGGGCACAGATAGGGTTTGTGCTAAATTAAAAATTTTTACTTGTGAAGAGCATGAGGTCAAAATACCTTAGATCTTTAAGTTTCATATTTAAACACAGCTATGCAGAAGTTTTCAGTGAGTTTGAACCACAAATGAAATTAGAACAGTCTGTGATATAGCGGAATTAAGTTTGTATCTATGTATGTTATATTGCATTATATTACATTACATACATTACAGCCCACAGAGGGCCAACTTTTACTTGTTGCTGAAATGCAACTGCCTCTGGGATGAAGGGAAGCTTATTGAAACTTTAGTAAGAAATGAAGAACAATGGAGCCAATTGAAACACAAGAAGAGTTTTGGGGAAAAAACAAATCTTGACCACCTAAACTTAAAAAAAATACATATATTTCACAATTATGCTTCAATGAGCTGTGATTTCTGCTCTTAGACATATGTATTGCTGGAGAATCTGTCTTTCATATGACACAGAAAATAATGGTTCTGACTAGTACTATTTAAGATAAAATGTTATCATATATTTTATAATAATAGAAGAGTCTATTTAAGTCTAAGTTTAGGTGACCTTGCAAAAATCTAGGTACCAGGAGGTGCTGCTTGGCTTGACCCACAGCAGGAACAGGAGCATCCACAGCTTTTATTTCCTGCAGCCAGTTCTCACCAGCTTCAGACACCCTGAACACAACTGTCAGTTCCATTTACCGGCTGTCATTCATTTTCATTTTCCATGTTTAATGTTAAACACCATAAAACAGTATTAATGAGTATTAGCATTTTAATATCCTCCTTGTTTTATTAATCTGTGATGAAGCATGAAATCTACCATTGCTCTCAGCACCCACCTGTGAAATCTGCTGTTACTCTCCATGGGCTCATTGCAGGGGGTCTCCCTTGTTATCATTATTAGCACAATCAGCTACATCTACAGGTGCAGATAGTATTGTGATTCCCCACTACAAACAAGCAGATTATTAGCCCTTTTATACCTATTTTGTCTTTTCTTTTTTTTTTTTTACAGACTAATATTAGCTCTTGTAGACTATGCAAGCATACAGTGTGTTGGGTTCTGATCTTAGCTCCGTGGCCTTCAACAGAGATTCTTC